CTGAGGGTCCAGATTCAAGCCCCACTTCGAGGAGAGTTCAAATTCTTTACATTTTTGAACACTGTTCAAATACAACATTTGCATATCCTTTCCCTTAATATTTCAGTGTAGTTTTCTGTACTGTCCATTTTTAATAGTTCTCCATTTCTCCTTCTTTGTAAGGAGGAGAAATATTTCATATTTTCATATTTCCTGTCTCCCAGAAATTAAATCTTCCTTTAATCCAGTGATCAATGTGTCCCTCAGCTTGGTGCCCGCCCACCCTGGGGGCACCTCCCTCCCTGGACGTCCCCTCCTCTGGAAGGTGTGGGGCTGTCGTCAAGGATAAATGAAATAATGATAATGATGTAACGGGCCCTCGGTGATGGCAGTTTTAATTATCACTAATAATACTGTTTTGATTAGTCTTTCAAGGTTTAGGTTAACACAACAGAACCATAACTCCTCTTCCTAGACGGCCACTTTAACGGCTTCACCACTTAGAATCTGAGGGCAGCTGACTTTTCAAAAGGGCTCTCCCCATTTGCATTCTCCCCTTAGCCTCTGGGTCTCCCCGTGGCGTCCTGCGTCCTGCGTCCTGCGTCCCGTGGAGCTGTTGTTAATAAACCCACATCTCCCCCACCCCCCCAGTGTTAGCAACGCAGGGAGGGCGGAGGCTGCTTCTTTCCTGGAGCCCAACAACTCACACTAACATCTGTCCGCTCAGCTCTTTCAGCCTTGAGTCACTGTTTTCCAACCCTCAGCGGTCTCTGAACAGATTCAAATTTCACAGACCCCCGATTCCTGTGGCTGGCTTGCTGGATCTTATCTTCACTGTCATTTCCCAGTGTCTCCGCCTGGCAGCCAGGAACAGTGGTCACATGGGAACCAAAGGCAATGAAAGGTGTGCTTCCTTCTCTCAGGGCATATTTGTAAAGGGTCTGCTATGTGCCAGAAATGCACTCATGTGCCAGGGCCACTAGCGTGACGAGAAATGATTCCTCATCCCAAGGACTCATCTGGGGAAGAAGAGGAAAACCCACAACCTATGTCAGGGCCGTGAGATGCTAACTGAGGTGTGGTCAGGGCCCCCAGCTAACTAACTTAGATCTCACATGATTAGAGAAACTTCTGGGTGGATCAGCTCCCCCATTGTCCCACCCCAGGCTCAGTTCCATTATGGCCTCTCTTAGGGAGTAGCTCCCAAGAATTCTCCAGAGATACTGTAGAATGAGACCCCTCCCTTCTGGCAGGATCCAGTCTTCAGAATCAAGGGATGTGGCAACAGCTTCAAAGTGCTTTTCCAAAGACCCTCCCATCACACATGCCGGGCCCCGCCCCACCCACCAGTACACAGGGGCCGCCGGGCCATGTTTCTGCACAGAAATACGCAAACTGACCTCTAATAATAGATGTTTGAAACGTCTCAGATGTTGTGGTTGCACGCAGCTCGTGGCCAGCTGCTGGGTTCCCCTCTCCTCCTCCAGATGTTGTCCCTTCCAGCCAATGAGTGCTTCCCTCAGGTCCCCGGGAGCCACGTCTGTGTCAGCTGGTGCACAGTTGCTCCGCTCTTCCTCCCTGGAAACCAAGTAACACAAATATCACGAGCCTCCCATTCAAAACGCCCCCAGGCAGCTCCTAGGCACGCCCCACTCCTGAGAACTAGGGTGAATGCATTTAGAGCAGGAGCGTGGGGGGCGGGGGAGCCAGCCCTTACACACCGTTTTATCCTTGACCCATAAAGGGAGCCCGTGGTGTGTGGTGAGAGGGCCTGATTTAACACTAAACTAGGTTTCCCTCTGCTGGGAGTTCCTGGCTGCGCCTGCGGAATACTCGTGTTCTGGAGTCTGAAAATACAGTGTCCTCACCGAATAAGTAAGGAACTCCTTGGAGCCGTGGGTATTGTGTGGCTGTTTTTCCTCTTAGTGGTCCTCATACTTGACGCGGCTGGGCATGTGGCAAGTATGAAAGGCACGTGGCATGTAGTGGTCAAGGTCCAGAGGCGTGTGGAGCTGGGTGGGCCCTGTCCCACCCTTACTGCGCGTCACTTTTGTGACAGCGGGCAGTGTGCTTACTCCCACGGGTCCTTTGGTCGTGAGAGGTTTTCTTCAGTCATTTGTCAGGGATTTATTAAAGGTTGGGGGTAAAGTTGGCAGATAAAAGCAAATAACTAAGATGATTTTAGGTAACAGTGGGGGTCCCTGACAGGACTTGCTCCTGGATTGGGTGTGAGGGGGAGGGAAAGAACAGGTCAAGGATGGCGCCTGGGATTCTGGGTCGCACGGAAGGGAGGCGGGAAGTGTGAAAAGGGACGCCTTTGGGGAGGGACAACAGGAAGTCCTCCTGGTGTCAAGGTTGAGATGTCAGGTGGTTCGGCACGAGGCTGTGACTGAAGGCGGCATGTGGCCATGTCAGTGCCCTCTGTGTGAAGCATTTGATCTTGGGGTAGAGAGATTGCCCAGTGGGAGAGCGTGTCCGTGGAGATGCGAAGAGGCCCAGCCTGAGCCCTGGGTGTAGCCACTGCCAGAGTCAGAGGGGTCACCGAGGAAGAGGGTGAGGGGTGGGTGCCGGGTTGGGAGCCAGAAGGCCTGAGGCCACCACTGTCAGTCAGGCCTGGACCCTGACGTGTCCTCGTTCCTCAGAGAGACCCATGGAGCCTTCTGTTACCACCGCACTTCCAACAAACACAGGGAGGACATGAGACCCATTAAAGAAAAGAACTGCTCCGTGAGCCTCCATTGTTAGTGGGGTTTTCATCAGCTGTGAAAAGGGTTTTAATAAGATAAGCTTCCAAGTATACACTGCTTTCAGCTCAGGCTGCCAGAGGGCCAGGTGTTCACACCCACACCTGGGACAGTGCCACTCCCCAGTGCCCCCCCTCGTCCGTGACTGCGTCTTATGCGAGTCACCTGTCGCTCTCACTCCACTGTGGCTCTGCCACCCCCAGGAAAGCACAGTCACGGCAGCGTAGCTAATAGTGAGCTTCCTAAGCTAAAATACCATGACCACCTGCCCTATAGAAATGCTTCGCAGTGAGCTGCCAAGACCTTGGCCCACGTGGGGCTCCACAGTGACATGCAGGCCCCCGGAGCCCTGCTGTCTTCTCTGCAGCTGGTGATCGTAGAGAGGAGGCTTGTCCCCCACCCGCCGGGGTCTGGAGACCAGACGCCACGGCTGGATCGGAGGCTCCGTCCTCCGCGTGCTCTGTGCCTCACACCCCGCTCCCACTTCCTGTGCGCCGTGCAAAGAAGAAAAGAGGTCTCTCAAAACGACAGCCGCCAAGTCTTAGGAGCATCTGGCTGACTCAGATTTTTATTTTTATTTTTGCATCCCTTTGTGTAGACCTCGCCAATTGCACGGCCCGTGTAGGTCGCTGACGTGGGGCAATGACCTTGCTTTACCCAGGCTTCACCTTCCGGCGGCACCTGTGAACATGCGAGTCACATGGGTACACTAACGGGAATTACTTTCCTTTGTGCATTGGCGTCTCATAGGCCACCAGGGTGTCGCCAGGGCAGGGAGCTCTGAGATTTCTCTCCGGGTCCTCTGTGCAGACTGGCTGCTGCTTGTTAATGTCACTTACAGGCCACAGTGACTGGTACAGTTCCTGAGCCACCCCTGTCTCCAGGTGTCCTGGCACCCTTTTCAAGACGTGAGCTGGCACTTGACATAAAACGTGAGATGAGTGATTTATGACGGGCGACCAGAAAGGAATGAAGTGCACAGCCTCTCGTCGCTTTGTGTTGCGGGCACAGTCGCGCCTCCCCTAGCCCTCTCTCTGTGTGTTTTAAACCGCGTATGGGTAGAGAAAACGTGATAGTTGGGCAGAAGCTAAGCTGGGAGCCCAAGTAACACCCTAAGTCACATACCTAGTGCTCCCAACCCCCCGGCAGACGGCCTGAGGTGAGGGTGTTAAAACCTCGTGCTGCCCCCCAGAGCAGTACAGGAGAGCAGCACTTGGCAGCCACTTTCAAAGGGAGGCACAGACCACAGACGCATTCACAGGAAGTTCCCAAGGCGAGAAGACGTGGTTTGCACTCGGGGTACCGTGGGGTAACAGTGCAAGGACGCACAAAGCCGGCGGTCTGTCGTTTACAAAGTGCCGGAGGCAGCACCTCCGTTGGGAAGGTGGGACCAGCCCAGAGAAAGGCCTGGCCTCAAGTTGCGGCTTCTCTGCTTCCGAAGAGTGCGGCCCACGCACACAGTCTGCCTTCTCTCTGAGCTCGGTTTGCTCCCCTATAAAATAGGGCGGCCTCACCCTTCCCCTCGTAGGAATGCTTCAGGGCTGAATGAATGTGTCAATGTATGTGACTTCTCTGGGCAAACTCTAAAGTGTCCTGTAGGTTTTTTTAAAACATCTTCTCAGACACTACTGTATGTAACCCCATAAGAATCCCATAGAATATCCTCGTTTTGCAGGTAAGGAAGCTGAGGACTGTGGGCTCAGCAGTCTGGTCACCTTGCACTTGAAGATCGTGGTTCCCTTTGAAAACAATATTGATGCCCCTACAACTGTTGAAGTAGTGGAGACATTTCTTCAGGAGCAGTTGTGATTGGGACGGGAGACCAGGGGTTGTCCCTCTGTCCTGTCCCAGGCCATGAGAAGCAGTCACTTAATCCTTACATGTACACCCAACAGAGGTGTCAAGGCTGCCTCACCCAGCCTGGCACTAAACATCAGAGGGGTTGGTACCATCTAAAGGAAACACTGTTCTGTGAATCAAAGAGGTTTTTGTTTTTGTCTTTTCTACAAAAGGGTGAAATTTTACTTTTCTTATTGTAATGAGAGTAAGTGTATACTCTTTGTTTTTCAGAACAGCCAAGTTCTGTTGAAAGAATAATTATGTTCTTGAAATGTCATAATGTTAAGCCTTGCTATGGGTGGCTAATTTGCAAACATGTAGTATGATGTCATTTTGTTATATTATCGGAGCATTGGGTGGGGGGGAGGGGCTCCCGACTGTAAAGAGAAGCATTTTATTAATTGATTTCCTTTTTTTGTTTTTTGCCTCTCATTTCAGAACGGTTTGATCACCACTGTCCCTGGGTAGGCAACTGTGTGGGGAAAAGAAACTACAGATTCTTTTATATGTTTATTTTATCTCTGTCTCTCCTGACAGTCTTTATATTTGCCCTCGTTGTCACCCACGTCATTCTTCGTAAGTATGCTGGCGGGACCCGACGCGTGCCTGCCCATTGGCCCGCCTCTGGCTTTCTGATTTAGTTTTGATTTGATACTTTGATCATGTCGGGCTTTCTCTTTCTTCTCTCCCCTCTTCTCCTGGCCCCCTCCTCACTTCCTGCATGCCCCCTTTCCAGTTCTGCCTTCCTCTGTCCCTCGTCACTGCCCCCCCCTTCCAGTTGCCACCCCCCATCCTGCCAGGGTCACACCTGGGCCCTCTTTACGCCCAAGACGGTGTCCCGGATACGCTTGTCCCTGTTCCGACCTCAGCGACTTCACTTTCCCTTCTGCTGAGGGATCCCCTGGGAAAATCGTCCCCCCCCCTTTGCACACTGGGGGACCAGCCAGAGCACAGAGTCATGGTTTTACTGGGATCAGTCCCCTCCCCAGAAACAGGTATTTGGGGATAAAGACGGTTTCCTAGCACACAATCTGCATATCACCGGTACACACTTGATAAGGTGCTCACTTATCTGCTAGGACACCGGTAAGCCACCCCTGGCACAGAAAGGAAGCAACTTGATTAAAAACGAGATTTGGGTATAAATGACTATATATATATATATATATATATATACCTAAGCAAACGGTATTGTTTATTCCCCAATCTGATGGTCATTCACATTCCTACAATAGACAATGATGAAAAGGAAGCTAATTGGCTTTGAACTATAGATTTAAGCCTCTAAACTTCCATTATGCGGCCATTAGCAACAGTAAAGTCCAACAGAGCCTCTTGGCCACATTCCTGAAATGCAGCCACCCATAAGCAAGTACAGAGCCCCTATCTGGAATGTTCCAGAAAGTGCCTGAGCACATGCCTCGCTCTCTTCCTAAGCAGCAGCGCTGAACCACAAAGGGGGTGTGGGCTAAGGCTGGGGCTGGAAGCCTTTTCCTCCCCTTCTCTTTCCGTGGAGTCTGCATGGGGTCCCGGGAAGTCGGTGGTCAGGAAAGTTTCATGTTAGTTCTTTTAAATATTCGTCAAGTTTGCACATTAACGGGAGGATCCCAAACTTTCATAGGCATTTTAAATCCTAGTTCCTGTTTTTTCTTACTGAAATCCTTTTATCCAAATGTGATGCAAGTTTGAAACCTGTGCTTGTGAGCCATTCCTTGGCGGGGTGTTAGGAACAGAGTTGGTGGTCATCAGAGAAGGTTCCCAGGGGACTCGGGTGGGGGATGCCAGTGTGGTTTTCAGAGTCAGAAATGGCCAAAGTCGCCATGGTCCTCGCTGGGTGCCAGCGGGCAGGAGAATCCGAGAGGAGCAGTTGTGTGCACTGTGGAGGGAATAAGCACCCGTACTCCAGTGCGTTACCCACGACGCCTCAAACTGGAGTTTAAACACTACGTTTTCACATCATCTTAAGTAACTTCCAACTGCCCCCCTGTAGACATGATCACATTGTGCCTGTGGCCTTACCCCTGCACTCCGGGTACCAAGGGCCCGCTTTCACTCGCTCAGCCGCACACGTAAACTCTGGAAACGTGCACACACAGAGCGAAGCCCACCGCCTGACACTTTCATCTCCACTGGAGTTCCACTCAGCCGGGCTCCAGGAAGCAGGCCCTGCTGTGGTCTGTGCTTGTGCGTGGTTAACCCAGCCTTCTGCACAAAAAGCATGCGGAATCCCTCTGCCTGCAAGTGACCCAGACATTCCGGACGAAAGCAAAGCAACTCAAGGTTTTCCTCTCCTCTTGCTCTGTGCCCCAACACCCCCACCCCACCCCCCATTTGGTGCGACCGGAGATGCTTTCAGGAAGGGCAAGGGTTTTTATATGGTCCCCATGGTCCCCCTAAGACTGCCGCTGGGGGACTGTCACCTGAGTTCTCCCTGCCAGGTACCAGGCTCTGAGAGCAGGGAGAGTGGGGTGAGGATTCTGTTACCTCAAGGTTCCTGAGCTCATTCTGCCTCAGGCTGTGTTTGTTTGTGGGTCCGCTGCAGCCCCCGTGGAGTCTGCCTTACCGGCCTAGCAGGAGGTGGGGAGAAAGCCCTAACTTTCCTTATCAGTTCTCCCACGCACCGGCGTCCTAACACACGGCACAGCCCCGTGCCTCAGTGAGCACAGAGGGAGAATGGGGAGCCGACCCACCCGCAGAGCTGAACAGGGCTGCGGGGACACAGAGGGTCAGGGACACCGCCTCTAACTCCCACGTGGCAGCTGCACGGGCACAAAATGCCACAGTCCCACTCCGTCCATTTTCCTTGTTCTTCTCGCTGCTGTCTGGGGGCCAAGCCGTGTCCCCAGACCATGGCTCTGTGCAGCAGGGACCCCGCCTCACCGCCCCAGGGTGGGATGTCACCAGTTCCTCCTACGGGCTTTTATTCCTAAAAACCGTAGTGCCAACATATAAACTGAAAATTGCTTCTTGTCGGGTGTGTCTTTACTCAAGTCCTGACAGACCGTTCACACTGAAATGTCTGCATCCGAAGGGAATCGGTAATAAACCGCACTCCGTGCAGGGACACGCAGGGTCGGAAGTTAACAAACTCTGGGAAAACAGTCTTCCATAAAAGAAGAGAAAAAGATTGCATACAGTATTCTGTTTTCCTGGTAAAACGAGGAAAACAAAGGAGTCATCAGAACTGTAATTTATGGGAAAGTATGCAGATATCCATCTGCTTTTTTAATTGAAAAAAATATCCTGCAGATGTTGGGTCTAGTTACGAATCTGCCGTTTTCTTGTTGAATAACTTCAGTGGGATCTCAGTCTCGAATCCGTGGCCTAGGTGCCGCAGCACAGGGGAAATATAATTACTTCATTGATTTTGAGGCGCCTGTTACGTCTCTGCAGATGAGAGAGCTTTCAGCATGCAGGCTGCTTCGCTGGAGGTAAATGTGTGAACACTAAAGTTTGGACTCATTCCCACAGGTTCGCAGCAAACGGGATTCCTTAACGCTCTGAAGGACAGCCCTGCGAGATATCCTTTCTGGTGGTGGTGCCGTGTACAAGGCTAAGGGTTAAGTATTGGACTGGCCTTCTGCTCAGCTTCCTCCTCGTCCTGCGCCTTGGCCTGTCTTCTCAGCAGCCGTGTTCTGGTTCATTCTGTGAAGCACCCGCAGGATCCCCCAGCGTTCACTTGGCAGAGGAGTAGCGTCTGCGGGCTCCCTCTGCGCAGTGACGCGTTTAGCCTTGTCTCAGGGGGAGGGCCCCTGTGCTACAAAACCAGGTGCGACCTCTTGCCCACCCCCAAACCCACACCTGATGAGTGTTGGACCAAGTTGGTTCAAGCTGCAAATACTTCATTCGGATCAGTGGGTGGTCCCTACGCAAAACTTAAGGAGGCCTGTGGGCATTCCTTTCTTAGTAGGCAGCCGCGAGGTGGGAGTCCCCTGAGCCCGGGGGTAGATTCCGTCTGGGGGTCAGTTTGGCATTGCTCTGGGCAGGACAGATAATCCGTATTTATTTTTAGAAACAGAACACCTTTCCACAGCCCTGAATGACCGAAGGTGGTCGATCTCAAGTCGTTCGGTGAGTCCCATCCTCTCAGACAGCGTGCATGGGCGTGTGCTACATTATCTTGAACTTCTTGAAAGGAAGAGGTTCACCCATTAAGGTCGTGCGTGGGCTCCCACCCCTCCCCTGTCCGCCCACCATGCACACTCACTGGTGTCGCATCAGCCAGCCGGCCCCACCCACCACCTCCGGCCAGGACCCAGCTCTCTTTCTTCTTCTCGGAACCAGGTAGACTGGACTTGAACCTCTCATTATTCCTGGGAGTCGTCATCTTGTGGTAGAGAATTCTTAAAGAATGAAGCGCTTCACTGAGATGTGCATATCACGTACATGCATTCCAGTGGACAGACCAAGGCAGTGACCTCACTGGTCAGAAAGGCTGACCTGAAGCCTGGGGATTTTAGCCGCTCCATTCCCGGGGGACTTTGGGCTCCCACTGCTCCACGTGGCTCTCGCCAGGCACCCTCAGGCACAGCCCCCCGCTGGACTGTTGTGGGGTGTACAAGTTGTCCGCTGCAGACCTCCCAGCTCACAGATCTTATCACCTCACGACCCTGGCATGAGTCCTAAGGGAAGATGGTGGGGGCAGCAAGTCCTACCCTGGGGTAGCACCTTTTAATTCCTGCTCCAGCAGAGCTGTGAGAGCCGACTCATTTCTTTCAACGCTTTGTGTCTGTTTGTTGACCCGACGTAGTCAACCACTCCGTACTCGGCAGCACTGTGCTGACAACATCAACTATCTGGAGTACGTGTGACAATGCTCGGTGCTGCAGCATTGCTTCTGGGGGTGGGGGGGCAGGAGTGATTTCTGGGAGGCTTCGTTCTGTGGCGGTTTATGCGATGGGCAGGCTCCGCCAGAACCTGCTGTCAGAGCACATGTGTGTCTGCTCGTTCTCAAGGTTTGGCTGTGCTCATAATCTGCATGGTCAAGGGCGCTGTGTTCCCGCAAAGGACGTAGACAGGTGTTGCTGGCAGAAAGAAAGGAAGGGTGGCAATGTGTCCGAAGCAGCATGCTGACTCCGCTGCAGAAGCTGTTTACGTGGATGAGGGAGAAGTGCTCTCCTTTGGTCCAGAGCAAATCTGAGCTTATTTCCCGTGGGATGTCGTTCTCAGGTAGAGGTAGAGTTTTTGAAAACTCATAAAAATCCCAGGCACTGACTTTCCAACATTGTCATATCTAGCCACTGCCTCCCCACCAACATCCTGACGTTTGCCCTCTTCAGGCTGTGACCTAAGCATGTCTTCCACGTTCCAGAGCTTGGTGGCCACAACCTGCCCTGAGTGTGTGATGGGCTCCCTACAGCATCCAGCACAGCTCGGGTGCAGGACTTTGGCACCTCCAGGCCACGGCCTCTGCCAGCTCTGCTCTGCACATGCCCAGCCGTTGCAACAAAAGCTTCCCATTGCTGCTGCACCAAAAAGCCACAATCTAGAGGCCTGAAGCAACATAAGTGTATTAGCACACAGCTCTGCAGGTCAGTGTCCAGTGGGCTCGGCTTCTGATTTCTTAAAAGCAGAATAAGTCTGAAGTGTCACGGAGACTCAGAAAATGCACTTGAGCGGAGGAGCGGAGTCCAGAAGGAAGCTGCGCATCCTGCAGGGAAACCAGGGAAGGCGTTGGCAGGTCGCCTCTGCAGGGGGCTTGGAAAGATGGGTGGCGTTCCAACAGGGTTGGAGGGGCGAAGGCCCAGGCAGGCCCCTGTCCTGAGCAAGGCGCCAGTCGTTTCCGGCCACCATCGGAGCCTGACAGGCTTCATTCTGTTTCAGTGGAATCTGGTAGGGAGCTTGGAGTTGGCCGAGTGCCCACAGAAAAGGAGGGCACCACCAGCCTGGTAGAATATTAACAAAGGCCGCTCAGGCCTCCCCTAACTCAGGGCCTTCAGGGCCCACCCAAACTGGTATCTGTTGGTCCTCAGAAAACGGATGGGACAGGTGTCCTGGGTCCTCTGACAGCTGCAGGTTAAATGACCCCAATTTACCTACCGCATTGTTGCCAGAACTAGAGGCCCCTCTTCCCACCCAGGGAACTGAGACTTCCTGCTGCCCCTGTCCCATCTGATGGAGGGGGTTTCATGAAAAATTAGCATCACCTGCATCTCATAAGATCACAAAGTGAGGGAGGAGGTCATTTAGTTTTTAGAATCATCCAAGTAATGCAGGAGCATATTCTCACCATAAAAAATGTCAACTAGAAAAGTGAGATAAGAAGGGAGCATTGCTCTTGTCCCTCCTTAGGAACCCGCGTCAGTTTCTGTGGCTCCTTCCAAGTGCCCTCTGTCTAAGGGCGTGAGTTCCTGTGCGTGCATTCAGATGCTCAGACCAGTACGCTAGGGCTGTGGGGTGGGGGACTGCTTGTACCTAAAAGGGACCGTGCCCTCTGTTGTTCTACAATTTGATTTTTAAATATTTCCATGTCAACGTGTACGTCGACCTCATTTTGTTAGCTTCTTTATATAATTCCAGAGTACAGATGAACCATAGTGTATTCTATTGTTAGATATTTAGATTTTTTAAATTCTTTTAGTGCTCAAGAAATAAGGTAGGAGATTTTCATGTCAGTATTTCTCTGTGCATAAGGGTAGGCGTTTCTCTAGGACCGACGACGAGATGTGGACCCCCTGAGCCGAAAGTGAAGTGTGTTTTATATGTCGATTCACGTGCCGAGCTGTCCCCTAAAGAGAGCGCACCGATTCACCCTCCGTTCCCCTCCGACTGCACCCACACTGCTTGTTAACACTGCTGCGATTTTTGCCAGTGTGATGGGCTGAGAAAAATTCATGGCTTTAATTTCCATTTTCTGGATAAAAATTGGCTTGTACATACATTTTTTCAAGTTTATTGACCTTTTTTTTCCTGCCACAGTGGGCCAGTACTGCCCTTTGTCCATATTTTAACTGGGCTATTTGTCCTTCTATTAACACGTTCTTTATGCATTCTTAGTAATAACCTTTTAAAATATCCTTTGCCAGTAGTCGCTGCCAGCTGTCACCTACCTGAATGCACCAAAGCGTTTCATTTATTGACACAGTCAATCTATAAATCTTGTACTACAAAGCTCCTACCCCACACTTTGTGCCTTATATCCTCATCCCAAAATTATGCAAATAGTTCCTTCATTTTCCTTTAAAACCTTCATATTTTGTTTCTTAAGTTTGGCACAGCAGTTTCTCTACGATATAGTTTTGTGTCTGTGGTGTGAGCTACAGTTTCAACTTAATTTTTCTCAAGTGTTCAGCGAAGGGTCTCAATACCGCTTGTTATTCCAGTCTAGTGGTTCTCAAATATTTTCGTCTCAGAACTCCTCTATATTCTTAAAAATTATTGAGAACCCCAACGAGCCTTAGATACATAGAGTATATCTATTTCTGTAGGTCATGTTTGAAATTAACAAGAAAGGACAAGTGCTTCTCCTGTGAGCATGAGTGAGGAGAGCTTACAACGTCACATCAATCGGCCTCCAGAACTAGCTGCTGAAGGATTGAGAGGCAGAAGTTGGGCGCTGATACCCTGAAGGGATCTTCCGGACCCTACGGGTCCAGGGCCAGCCCTTGAGAACCAGCGGCCTGTTCTTCCCCCACTAACTGGAATGCCTTCATCCTACATGCCCACAAGTCTGTTTTGGGTCCCACTACCTGGTTTTGTTTGCTAGAAAACTCTTCTCTTGGCCCCACACCCATGATCCTCTTTTTACAAATGTCTTACTTTTTCTCGTTCACTTTCTCTTCTGGATGTGTTTTAGGGCCAGTGTGTCTCATTTCAGTTTTCAAATCCCAGTTGGAATTTTGATTAGAATTATTGTGACTTCCCAGAGTAATTTGGGACAAACCGCACCCTTTTCTGCCCAGTATAAAGGCTCGTGGGAGAAAAGGAGTTGAGAGACTGGAAGGTGGTGGCCACATGTCTCATCTGAAGGGTCCTGGTGACCTTCTGTTCTCAGGGTCTGACATGTAAGTCAGCGTGAAATCGACAGCCCACCTCCCAGACATGGTGGCGGGCACTTGGGTTACAGGCGAAGGCTGGGTTTCCCTGACTCTGTCTCAGGACCGTACAGCCACCTAACTGATGAAGATGAGGTGCCATCAAGCTCCTGAACCTAAATATTTAAAAGCATTGAGTGCCGATGGAGACGCTGAATCTAGAGACCCAAGGGAGAGATACCTCCAATTCGCGCCGTTCCATCCGGGCTCTTCCTGTAAGTGTGCACTGCAGGTTTCACTAATTTTTAGGAAAGAAAAAAAGAAATGATTCCCAACAGCATCTGCTTCTTGTATTTAAATATCAGAACCCCAGACAGAGGCCTGACACAGAGTAAGATGCGCGAGGATGAGGGGCGCACGCGTGGTGCCCCAGGGCAATGCGCCTCAACTCTGAGTGGCTCCCCGGGCCTCATCAGCCTGGAGCTCAGAAAGGAGGGGACCCATGGCAGAGCCTCGGGCTTCAGCATTAGGACCACACTGGGATCCAGGTGATTTCTGTTGATAAGAAAACAGACATGAAACACACAGATTTTTAAAAATAAATTGCCACCTGGATTTGGCACTAGGCAAAAAAAAAAGTCATAAGCCTGGGTGCTGGGATTCAAAGAGATTGGCCCGGACCTGGTAACAGAGCCAAGCTCTGGGCAGCTCTGGGGTGTGGGGCCGATGAACGAGGCTTGACGTTCCCAGGCAGTCTCAGTCCCGCTGCTCTGAGGTCTGAGAGCCCAAAGTTAACACCTGTCGTGGGACACTGTCACAGTTTGGGACCTGGGGAAGCAGCCGTCTCTCCCAGAAGCCCGGTCACCCAGTGCCAGCTCTGTTTTGCCGTGACTGCTCTGTGAGCTCTTGTAAGGGGCTCGACGACCCGGAGCTGAGGCGTCCTTCCTACCTGTGAAGTGAGAGGGTCGGAACCAACCGGGACGTCTTAACTCGGGTCAGGGCGCCTCAACGGAGCAGCGTCAGGGCAGTCTTAGGTCCCCTGAAATGATAAGGAAGAAATGTGTTTGGGTACATGTTTTCCTGAGAAGAAAGAGCCCCAAAAAGGTGAGGCACCGCGACATCTGACTTTGGTGACTCTCCGAGTGCCCCTCCCCATTCTGCCCAACACTATTCCATATCCCTGCAAGGCCTCGCTCGCCTCCCCAGGGCAGACAGCCTGCTCTGCTGTGCCCTTCGGGCCTGTCCCAAGGGCAGGGCCGGTGCCTTGGAAGGCTCCCAGCCAGCACTCCTGGGCTCCCGAGGAGACTGGAAGGAGACTGGACAGAGGGTCGTCTGCCCGTGGCATTTCCAGTGTCTCTTCAATTTCACGATCAGCTCCTGAGTACCTTGGGGGTGACATCTTGGGCCAGGGGCTGCGGGGAGTGACAGCCATACCCCTGGCCACAAAGGGGACTCCCTGTCTTACTGGAGTTTGGTGGAAGGGGGACAGGCAGAGGCCGGCAGTGTTAACAGCGTTAATTTGGAACTTGTTTCTGATGCAGTAGACATCCAAGGGCTTATGAAACTGGCTCCTAATGGAGTTGGCGGGTTTCCTCCCATTACTCTCTTTTAAAAAATCAGTAAATGGATTTTTATACATTTAAGAGAAATTTATATTACTCTTATTCTAGCATAGACATTTTCAACGCCCAGCTATTGGGTCAGCGAGATGTGCTGTTCAGATGTCTACGCTGCAGTCTGAGAGGGTTTGGCGCGGTGGACTCCTTCGCTGACACAGGTTCAAGGGTCCCTGACAAGAATCTCCCCTGGGGAGTGGGGGGGCAAGGGGGACAGCGGGCCTAAAGCCACCTGTCCCTCTGCAAGATGTAAGAAAGGAGCCCGCCCGTGGTTTGTCTGTCAGGTGGCAGAGCCACACCCCAGGTTCAAATTGTAGCTCCGCTATTTCTTAAATGACTTACCTGCTTCCTGCCTCAGTTTCCCCATCAGTTAAGTGGGAATCGTGTGTCTCCCTGGGTGGGTCAGAGGATGAAGTTAGTCCCTGGGAAGCCTTCGGAACAGCACCCGACACACAGCCCGAGGCCGGCCTTCGTTGTCCCTGGTGGTGACGGTTATCCCCTGAGACACACTATGGGAGAAGCCAGAGTGGGCTGAGGTTCGAACTCGCCTTGAACTCAAGTCAGGTTGGCCCAGCCGTGACCTGGCGGTGAAACCGAGTTCTGCTATTTGTAAAATGCTCCTAAAGCGCAGGAGATGTTAGAAAGCTGCATTTGTTCCTTTGTGGTGCTCTAAACCTTTAAAATTCCACATCCACTGGCAAAACAATGCCTCCTGGTGGGGGTAATGATGTCGTGTGGCTTTAAAAAGGAACAGAATAGGGACACTGGCCGCTTCAAACGCGGCTCACCTCCACCGTGATGCCGGTGCGGGTGTGGCTGGTGCCTGAGGACGTTGTGTGCGTTTGCTCACGACCCTCCTTTCACCTGCGTGGCAGCTGCACAGCATTTCCGAGATCAAAGTTCTGCTCTCTGTGGGTTATTCAGCAAATAAATCTTTGCTTCTGGTTTTTATTCTCTTTCCCACCCTTGACCGTTTCTTGCCTGGTTTCTGAGTCACCTCCTGTCTGGTCATCGTATCCCTTGTCTCTTCCCCCTAGCTTATGCAAGTTCATTGCCACAGTCACCTCCCTGTACACCCAGTTTCCCTGACTCTGCCTGCCTGCCATGGACCGCATCGTTGTTCCTGGACTCCACCGCTGCTTCCAAACCTGTATGTCCCATGGGTGGGGGGATGAGGTTAGGAGAAGGGACGTCTGTGAGTCCTGACCTGTCGGAAGCCAGTTGAGAATAAGGCCCTCCTTGCTACAGAGGACACCGTCCGAGTGTCCCCATGTGCACAGTGGTTCCCCCGCCGTAACCACTAGCCCAGCTGGGAGGGCGGAAGAGGTTGCCCAGGCTGGCGGCTGCCTCTCTCGGAACCCCCAATGATCCCGCCTACCTTCCATGTTTTCCTGCATTTCCGAAAGAGCACTTTGGTTCTCCGCCTCCTTCCTCCATGAGGATCGGCAGGGCCTGCGGGGAGCGCTGTGGGTTGGCAACCTCGAAGACCGCAGCCGTCTCCCTGCGGGCCGGCCAGCAGGTGCAGGAGCGTTCTCCTCCTGGGGCGTCCTCTATATTTAGAGTGGTGCTTTTCCGTGAGCTCACAGTTTCTAGAAGTTTAGACTTTAAAAATGTAAAGCACTGTGCACCTCTCCAAGGGCAGATCCCCCGGCTTATCCTGGTGCCGACGGTCAGTTAACAGGCAGGAATCCTCTGCTTCTCCCATTTCGTGTAGGGCCCTCGAGCCGGGACGCGGCATTTGTTACTCAGGACGCAGCATTTCATGGCCGCCCTGGTTCACGCATTCACGTCTACGGTCTAAGATGAGTTATCTCCAATCCCATAAAAAAATCAGTGGTGATGTATGAGCTGTGGCTTCCATCCCTGGGAGCAGAAGGAAAGTGCGAGTGTTTATTTTCTCTGCCTGTAAGTTATCGTTGGGGGTCGCCTGGTGTATTTTAAACCCCCAGACCTAAAAAGAGTTTTCCGTTTCCCGAGAATCATCTATATCTTGTCAATAGAGTTTCATAAACATTTGTGAGACAGAAAAATTCCCTAGTCTTTTCAAGTTGCCACACTCTTGGTTGATTTATCTCTTCTTCTGAAGGACACCAGCCTTTTTGTCCTCTGGTTGTCACATGTCTGGTGTGACTGTCTGTCACTCCGTGTCTGGTGAGCATCCAGGCGTCAGAGCCTCCTGTGTCGGGGTGGGCCGAGGGGCCGGGTGACCCTCACCCTGATGCCACTCTGAGAAATGCCCCCGCTGGTCAGGAGTCCACGCACAGACAGACACAGGCAGCCACCCAGGTGCGGACAGGCCGCTGGGGCAGAAAGCAAGCCGTGAAGATAAACCCCGCCCGGCTACAGCCCCCATCGTCAGCCTCACGGCAGTTCGCTCACAGCCCCAACATCAGGTCGGTGGAGAGACCTGTGGGTGCCACAGCCCTCAACGCTCAGAAGCCAAAATTAGAGTCTGTGATTGAAGTGAGACCAAGTACTGAGTCCTTTCTTCGAAGGCCCGGGCTGCTACCGTCCCAGCCAGCAAGTGTCCTGGTTGTGCTACCACACTCAGTGCCCCGCCCCCAGAGCCACAAGAAGAAGATGAGGAAGGGCAGGGGGCTGGGGGGGCAGTCAGGGGACCCATGAGCAAGTAAACAGGTCACATTGGGGGGGGGCCCTCTTACTGCACGTGAATGCTGAGCAGAATGTGACGTAGGGCCTGCCCAAGAAGGTCCCCCAGGTTGGGGAGGACACCTTGGCAAGGCTGGGTCTGCACAAGAGGCCTAAGGGGGGGTCCCACCCGGGGGGGTCCCACCCATCACAGTCCCCTCCTCCCGGTTCCAGTCCTTGACTCCGGGCCACCGTGCTGGAGGCCGTGGTGTGCTTCTTCTCCGTCTGGTCCATCGTGGGACTCTCGGGTTTCCACACCTACCTGATCAGTTCCAACCAGACGACGAACGAAGATGTAAGTCCTAGCGGTCTGGGGTGTCTTCGTGCTCAGCGCCCGAGAGGGAAGGGGCAAGAGGAGGTTGGGAGCTAATGTCTTCGTCCGCCCTGCTCCAGACGTGAGCCCTTGGGGGCAGCGAGGAGCCTGGAAGCATGTCGCCCTTGGCTCCAAGCTCTCTGGGTGGGACGTCTCTCCATGGTCCTGCTTCCTGACGGTGTCAGTTAAAAGACACTGAGATCAGCCAAGTGACACCCAGCTCAGAGCCCTGGGGAGGTTCTGTTCTAGCCCTTTTAAGTAGTTTTTTTTTTAAGATTTATTTATTTTTAGAGAGAGGGGCAGGGAGGGAGGAAGAGAGGAAAAGAAACGTCAGTGTGAGAAAGAAACCTCAATCGGTGGTCTCTTGCGTGCCCCCCAACTGGAGACTGAACCCACAACCCAGGCGCGTGCCCTGACCAGGAATCAAACTGATGACCCCTCGCCCTGCAGAGGGACCCCTGACCCACTGAGCCACACCCACCAGGGGTCCTTCTCAGTAGCGTGTGAGTCCCTGCAGAAGCCAGGGCAGGCTGGCACCTCGGGGTGCTGGTGGAATCACCTTTCATGGTCAGCGTCTCTACGTCATTTCGAAGGCTCGCGGGCCCCAAAGTTTAACTTCTGTGCAGGGTTACCTGCCTATTCCCCATGTGGGCAGAGAGGAGCTGTAAAAACAAACAGAAGGTTGGAGAGTTTCTTCGTAAGCCTGGGCCTCTTCAATCTAAATACTTAGGTTCTGACAGAGTCTATTGGTAGGTCTCCCTGTCACTCCGGTGGCCGGAAGGGCTTGAGAAAATCAATGCTGGTGAGATGCGCAAGTCAAAAGAATGTTAATACAGTTATTTATATTCGGTAACTGAGAAGAATAGAATCTGCAAACGCATTTTGGCAACACCATGAGGCCAAATTCAGATGGGCTATACACTGGCGATGGGGGAGCCACCTTACCCCTTGCGGCTGCCATCCGTTTAATCACTCTTCTAGCACATCAGCTGGGAGTCCGAGTGACGTCTCCAGGGGCTCGTGTGAGCTGGCCCGGGGGTGCTCTGTAGCAGAGATAAGAGATTGTCCCCAGAGATCGTTACCTTCTCCCTAATCTGACCTGCTGTTTTGGGGTATTTCCGAATTTGGGGTGATCTCTCTTGCTGAAGAAATGAGTAAAGATTATTTGCATTCTCAGTGACTTGTCATAGTCCAGTTCTCTTAAACCGGGGCCCTGGTGTGAAGGATACCGTGTTACTGACTACCCTTTTCTTTCAGATTAAAGGCTCTTGGTCAAATAAAAGAGGTAAAGAGAATTATAACCCCTACAGCTACGGAAACATCTTCACAAACTGCTGTGTTGCCCTGTGTGGGCCCGTCTCCCCCAGGTAAGACCCCAAAAGCATCGTGCTCCTTCCTGGATTTTGGAAAGCCCACACCTTGCTGTGTGAGGACAGGCCACCCCAGGGGGGTACCCGGCCACAGCGGTGGACCAGGTCACAGTGCCCGGGTGACCACCACGTCAGGCCTCCTCTTAGCGCCACAGAGACACAGCCTCCGTGAAACAGGGACTGTGGAGTCCTGGCTGCTGGCCGTGTTATGCTTGACACACCGAATTCGTATCAAGTTCAGGGGGAATCCCCCAAGGGTCAAATAGGGGGTGACCTGGTTCATCGTTGCATGATGTGCGTTGGTGGCGGCAGGGGGCCGTGCTCAGCACAGCGAGGGAACCAGGGCACGAAGGAGGGGCAGTTAGGAAGCCTGTAGGAACGAGTGCTGAGGGCTGAGCGGCACAGAATGTGACCGCGAAAGTAGTTCAGAGGGGAGCTCTCTGTGGCTGGAACAGGTCACGGTGGGACAACTGTACTACAGACAATGGTGGGAGCTGACGCTTACTGAACCACTTGGCTCCCACAGGGACCACTGGCCGCTGACCTCTCTCACCTGGTCCTCAGGCCCTCCAGAGCTGGCCGGACTCTCCTCCCTCTTTTCTCCTTCCTCCTCCTCTCTTTGCTGACCTCTCCCAAATCTTCTGCGTTCGAAAGGGCCAGGGCCTCCACATTCCACAGGTGGGCTCGCAGCCAGCCCCGCCCACTGAGCAGAGTTCTTGCTCCAGGCAGGGGCTCCGCGCCATCTGTGTGCCAGAACCGTGCACCCGAGTTGCCTCCGAAACATTCTTCAACGGCACAGCAATGCGCGCACGTGAGAGAGAGAGAGAGAGAGAGAGAGAGAGAGAGTCTTCCTGTGGCCCAGCGAGAGCTGCAGCCCCCCACTCAGGTCCCTGAAGTGTCCCCAGAAGTGTGAGGACAGCAGGGTGGGGGTGGCCAGGTTTGGGGGAGGGGGGTCCTCCTACAACTGTGGCAGGAAGAATGGAAATTGGAAAGACAGGAAGTCCCAAGGTGTGGTCAGGGTCAGGCCCCGTGGGCAGTGCCGTGGGTCAGCCAGTCCCAAGACCTCGCCTGGCCAGGGTTGCTGAGCACAGGCTGTGCGGCCAGCCTGGAGGGGCTGTGAGGGGACCTCTGGGTGGGCTTCCCAGGGGCGGGGGCTTTCAGTGATCTGTTCTGAAGGACGAGTGGGAGTGGGGGGAAGGCATTGTGGGGGGACGGCAGAGGGAAGAGCCTGTCCAACGGCTCAGAGGTGAGGGGAGAGCCTGGGTTGTCAGGGAAGCAAGAATCGGGGGGCAGGGAGCTGAACACAAGAGTTGAGACGAGGGGAGCACAGCCAAATCAGGGGGCGAGGTGCCGTGGACCACTGCGAGGAGACTTGTGGCAGATGTCAGCCTTGGCTGGTCTATGAGATAGGCTGACCGCGTGGAATGCAGGCCGGTGACTTTATTTTTCTCCCCGCGTCCCTTCAGACGCTCTTGATGACCTGGTTCTTTTCTGCTCCTGGGTGAGGTCCCCTGCAAGTCCCCGAATTTCTCCCATCACTTAAAAGAAAAAAACAATTGGGGGCACTTTCATGGCCTCCCAAATCGTGTCATTCCAGTGAATCAGAACTCCAAAGTTCATCACAGGTTAAAACTTTCCACTCTGGGTTGGGATTTCAACATACCTTCTGGGGGGTTACCATTCAAGCCCTGACACACCCCTTCAGGACAACTTTTCCCCGCCCCTCACCCTCCAGCCGCCCCCCCAGTCCTCTTCCTCAGTGGGGGGCCAGTGGCTCCTTCCTCCAAGACCTCCTCCCTTGCTCGGTTCACTCCGCCCCTCCTGTCCGGACATGCTTGGTCTGAGAACCCCTCTGATGTCCTGCAGGGGGTCCAGCACCTCCCTTTGGCAGATGGAAGTTACTGGTGCCTGTTGTTTTTTTTTCTAAACCTCGGGGGATTCAATGGAAACTGAAGCAGAGAGAGTTCCATTCCAAGATCCTGTCCCAAGTGTTTTTTAATGGCTTGTTCTTCTGTCACTTGAAGACCTGAAAGCAGTAGTTGCGACGATAATTCCTATCTTCTGAAAGTCCAGCTGACAAGCAGGAGCTGCCGCCAGCAGCCCAGCCCCCGCCCACCCAGAAGGAGGTGTGGCGGGGGGGGGGCACTTCAGGCATCTTGCAGAAGCCGTTGGAGTGTGGCCCGAGCCCCACTCCGCAGGGGCCACTGTGGGCGCACCCACTTATTAGCTGAGCCTCCTGTTGCCCTTTGCTGTTCTGCCCTTAGACTCAAGGTCAGCACTGGGCCCTCACCCCAGGCAGCCCTTTGGAAGGCGCAGTAGAGCTTCACCCACCTTCACACTGGGCGGCCCTGCCTCGGAGCTAAGGAAAGAGGCATTGCTTAGCAAACCTGTCTGTGGCGGCCAAAGGGCCATTCTCGTTTCATCAGCGAGCGTTTGCGCACCTCCTGCTGGCTGCCAGCAGTGCAGACACAGTGATCAGGAAGACTCTGACCTTCCCTCGTGGAGCTCACACCTGTGACAGATGCAGACGTGGGCACAGGCGAGGCCAACAGAATGGGTCCGGGGACTCTGAGCCCCACGTCCTCTGGGACCAGGGATGGAGTGGGAGGAAAGAGGAAGACTGCCCTGCCCTCCCTTGGGGGCTGCAGGCTGCCCTCCAGGACTGTCCCAAGTCCTTGTGACACCAGCAAATGGGGAGGTGCCCCCAGGAGGATCCCATGCAGCCTTAAGAGAAGCCAGATAAGGGACGGAAGCGGGCACAGGGAGGGGCGAGAGCTGGGGCTGCAGGGCTTTTGAACCTGGCCGTGAAGAAAGGACAGTGGAGCCCTGACCAGGGTGGCTCAGTGGGTTGGACGTTGTTCCACGAAGCGGAAGGTCGCTGGTTTGATTTCTGGTCAGGACACAGGCCTGGATTGAAAGCCAGGTCCCCAGATGGGGGCGTGAGAGAGGCAGCCAACTGATGTTTCTCTAGCAAATCGATGTTCCTTTCCCTTTTTTTCTCCCTCCCTTCCCCTCTCTCTAAAAATAAATATAATAAAAAAAAGATGGACAGTGGAATGGGAGGGAAAGTAACTGTGGATAAGAAAAAAAAAAAACAGTGTGAATAAAAATCCACAGCTGGCAAAGCTCAGAGCATGTACCAGGCAGGTGGCTTTTGGCCCCTGCAGTGCGCTCGCAGGTGACAGGCACTCAGACACGACTGTGGAGGGGACAAGCGAACGAGAGCCGAGTGTGCAACAAGGAGACATGGGTTTAAGGCTGGAGGGGAAAGCGGGGGGCAGGTGCGTGAGGCCTGAAGGCCGAGGCAGGAGTCTGGACGGCGTCGTTGGTGCTGAGGCTCCCAAAGCCGTGCCCTCAGGAAGGGGCTGTGGTCGGGCCCTCAGTTGGGGGCTGTGGACGGTGGGCAGCGGCCAGTGGGCTGGAGGCTGGTGCACAGCACGGGGCCTGCAGCAGGCGGCACAGAGGGAAGGGGTGCTATGGGATTCCAAAATGCAGAATGACAAAATTGGTGCCTGCCTGCCCATGACGTGACTGGGGTGCGTTCCAAGGTGTCTGAGAGGGGCCCGTCCCAGAAAGAAGGGCCCCCAAAGTGGAAATCAGAACAGCGTTGGTGGCGTTTTGGCTCTTTACTCCCACTCTTTCTCCTTCACTGTTTCGTTTTCTCTTGCAGCCTCATCGACAGAAGGGGGTACATCCAGCCTGACACCCCACAGCCAGCTGCACCCTCCAACGGGCTGTCCGCGTACGGGGCCACGCCATCCCAGAGCGACATGGTAGGAGCTGCCTGCGGCAGGGCCAGCCCCCCGCAGTGCCTTCCCCCGGCTTCTCTGCCTGCTAACCCCGTAAAAGGCCCAGCACACGAGAACGCTTCCCAACCCAAGCGACAAAGAGGGGAGGGAGGGCTGTGGCTGCTGCTGAGTGACCGTGTGTTGGGGGCTGTGAAGGGGACACACAAAATCTCTTCCAGAAACAGCCTGTGGCGCCTCCTGATGGAAGGTGCCCTTACACAGGCACACTGTCATCTGGGGGACGAGACATGCTGCCCCAGGCAGGGCTGGCGGGCTAAACAGTGTCCCCATGTCCCCTTCTGTCCCTTTGCCTCAGTCCGCACTGACTGCCCAGCCCTCTTTGGTCAGTGCCAGCTCCCCCACTTTCAGCCAACTCTTAGGTCCGCCTAGCACACCTTCGTGCAAAAGTCTCTCCCAGTGAAAGCTGCCTGGAGCCTCGCCAAGGGGGTCCCAGGCTGTGGCCCTGTGGGAAGGCGGGCTTTGTGTCCAGTCTGCAGGTGGGAGACTCAGGGCGGGCGTGGGGGCTCTCGTGGGCACCTGCAGTCGCAGCCCGGCTGGCCCTGACCATCGAGCCTTCACAGCCCTGAGGCAGCGGTCCCTCTGTATCTGGAGCAGAGTTCCCTGAGGCCCCGTGGCTCTGTAAGGGGCCCGGCTGTGCGGACCTCCAGTGGTGTGGTGTGCTCTCGATAGACCTGAACTGCCCGCAGTGGTGTTTCCGGGATTAACGTGCCTCTCAAGGTGGACTCGGGGGCAGACGGCCTCCTGGGCCCACGGTTGCTGAGCACACAGAACTGCAAGGTGGAAGCCAGCTGTCTCTGACCACTCGGGTCTCGGACACACAGCTCAGTCCCTGTAACCCCCTGGCCGTATTTACAGACAGGGAGGCAAGGCCCTGCTCCAAGCAGAACTCCCTGGGTTCATTTGTCGGGAGTGGTGTTTTGTTAGTGTTTGCTTCGCTTTGCTTCGTTAATGTTCTGTCTTCTTCGAAAGAAAGTGTGTGTACATGGGTCCTTGCCACCCCATTCCCCGTGATCCTGGCGCGTCTTGTGCTGTCTGCACTGGCCTGCACAAACAGCCCTTCAGGGTCGCCCTGCTTGTTTCCGGGGGGAGAAGAGTCAGGACAGAGAGAGTGAAGAGACAGGAGCATAGGAAAGGAGATAGCATGCATCGGGCATCAGCTGTGCTCAGGGCCTGCGACGATCCGTACCTCGTTTAATCCCAGACCAGGAATGGACGTGGGCCTGCCTGCCCTCACTTTCTCTGAAGCTAGGAGAGGCCGATCCTCTGCCGCCGTGTACACAGCCATTACCTCGGGCATCTGAGCCCAGTCTGAGGACCCCAGGGCCCACACCCACTGCATGCCCTGAGTCCTTCAAGTGCACAGGCAGTGAGGTCAACTATCTTCATGCTCTGAGGTCCTTCTCAAGTACCTGCAGGTGCCCGACAAAAGTCCTATAAGGACACCACTCTCGGGCACTCTGACCCTCTATCCTGATCACTTCACTATGTAGACATACTGGTGTTTACTCAGCAGCTCTTCCTGAGTCCCTACTGTGCGCTGAGGACTCAACTACATGCTAGGGGTGCAAGGTATGTAGGGGACAGTCCCTCTGCCCTCGAAGTCAGTCGTCCAGGGACAGGACATAGTGCAATGTGAAGAAAGATGTTGTGAAGTTTCATTAGGACCAACCACGGATGACTGTGGTCCTCACCAGAACCAGTGAACTTGCGTTAGTGTCACCCGTGATGCCCCTAACACCACCCTCACCGTGCTCTGCAGGAGAGCAAGTGGGACGTGGCCTCGGTCACCTGGGCTTGGGCTTGCCAGCTCTGACACTGGGGCTGATCTTGGACGAGTCAGTTCATCCCAAGAGCCTTAAATTCTGGAAGGGAGGGAGGGAGGATGGGAGGAAGGAGGGAAGGGAGGGAGGGAGGGAGACAAAGGAGGAAGAAAGGAAGGAGGGAGGGAGTGAAGGAAAGAAGGGATAAGGACGTCCGCCTCCCTAGATAGTGGTTGGGATTGGCTGACATCCTGTCTGTTTCATCCCCCGTCACCATTGCTCCTGGCACATAGTAGGTGCTTATTAAACGCTCATTTGAATGAATGTGAAAGTTTCCATCACTGAGGTTTTCTCAGTGGAGATTCCTGGCAAATATTCCTTTGTTCCTGTCTTCCTTCGCTGTTCCTTCCTTCCCCTGATTTTGTTCCATCTGCAGAAGTGTCCATCCTGAATGTGGAACTGGGAAGTAGAGTCAAGGAGTCCTCTTTAGTGCAGGGACATCGTGGCATAGTGTCACAAAGTGATGGCCTTGGTGGGGTCAAATTAATCCATGGGCCCAGACACCGAAGGTCATGGTCATTTTACCCACTAAACACTGTAGGCAAAGTGCCTATGAGCTTTTCTGGGAAGTGAAAAATTTTAAGACCTGAAAACAAACAAGTTCTAAAACACAAAAAGAAAACGATAAAGTCAAGATTAGTAAATGTTTAATGTCTACAAGACACACGAATATGTCAACTTCATTCATTATTAAATTTAGCATTCATGAAAATTGTATTACATTTTCCAGATGATTTGTAGTTGATTACACAGAAATCGTTAGCAATGATGAAGTAAGTGAGCTGCCCGTAGGTGAGTTCAGAAGTGAACTGACAGGGGTCCCTCGCCCCCTCCATCCCACCCCGCTGCTGCCTTTGTGTTACAAGGAGCCCTGGTTCCACTCTCTTTGCAGCTGGGAGAAAGTTTTTTGGTCCCCGAGCTCTTACCTGCAGCTGGGGCCACCCACACACGTTAGAAAGTTGTGGGGTGAAAAATGAGTGGAATTCTGTGTGGCCCCACAGTTCAGAGCCAGGACTGGAGGGTTCGGGGAGGCAGATCCTGCTCAACCCAGCAGGGAAATGTCCTGCACCCAGAGCTCGTCTGGGACAGAGGCCCCCTCCCCCAGAGATGTTCAGGCTGGGGGAGTCTGCACCCCCAGCGATGTGGACAGAGGGGTGCAGCATTGGTGGGAGGGCCGCTTCCCATGCAGACCCTGTCTGGCAGACTCCGCTATTCTCCAGGGCCTCCAGCCCGTTAGGTCTGGTCAACAGGCCGGCATTGCTGTGCATTTATAGGCCATTCAGGCACTGAGAGACTGTGCCTCTTGTGATGCCAGTTGTCCTTCGTGGGCTTCGGTGCTGTGGGTCGCAGGTTAAGGGGTGGACATGGAGGCAGGGCTGGCACGGAGCAGAGTGTGAGGCTTGACCTATCTCCAGCCTCTCTGAGTTCGTCCATGCTCCGCCTTGCGCAGTATTTACTATATCCCGTCCCCTACCAGCACACGACATACCACGGAGATAACTCACACTGACCCTCACAACCCCATGCGGCTGCTACTAATATCACCCCCATTTTAAAGATTAATACAAATGAGGCTCAGAGAGCCTGACTCCTAGTCTGTGCTCATAGCCCTGCCCGGGCTACGCACACTGGCTGTGTGGGGTGATGCTTCTCCTGAATGCTTTTAATCCTCACAACCGTAATCCTCACCCTCTCTCCCCTATCAAATCTGCTCCCAGGAAAATGACTGTCATCAACCATTTGTATCACAGAGGGAATTCAAGCCAAATTTCAGGGACATAATGAATTTCAATTGTGAATGAAAGATTTTGCTATTAAAAGCATTTCAGCCTTTAATAATAATAATAATAATTGAGTGCTTTAATGTTTTTTGTTCAGCACCGTATCTTCATTATCTAGAGAGGTTCCTATGATCATTGGTTTCAGTCCGTGGTGGTTAAGTGAGAGCAGGGTGGGGAGAGATTGACTGACTGCTCTGTGGCCGAGCTGAGATTTCTTCCTTGGCAGTCTGACTCCGAGACAGTGCTCTTCTTGCCCGTATACCCAAAGCCTCCCCGGGGGGCAGGTCTCCCAGAGTGGAATGGCTTGAAGGCTCTGCCCAGGGCTGAAGAAGTCACACCACATGGGCCTTCTGTGTGGAAGGAGGATGACTTCGCTTTGGTCCCTCACAACCAGGCTGTGGAACCGAACATGTAACCTCTTCATAATCGAACTGCAACTCGACCAGGCAAATGTCTATGAAGCATCTTCAGTTTCTGCTCTGTTACAAATAACAGTGTTACTCAGTATCAGATTAACTCCTTTTCTCTCCATTTGTTCTCTGAAGCCCAAGCTTCTTGGCAGCACCTTGGACTGGTCTAGCCCGAGCGCTAAAGTTTTGTCCAGGTTTCGGGAACGTATCAGCATCCAGGTGATTTACTGACCTGGCCCAGGGGTGAGCTCTGCGATCGAAGTGTTCAGAGTTCATTCCGTTTCTTGGGTCTGAAAGTTATCATTTTTCAACAGATTAAGACATTTTTATCCATTATGTCTTCAGGGTTTTTTACTGCTTTATCTCATTCTCTCTCTCCTTGGGACTCCAATCTCCCACATGTTAGAGCCTTTGATGTTACCCCAGGAGACAGCTCCTTGAGGTTCTGTGCATTTTCCTTCAATCTTTATCTTCTAGTCTTTCAAACTGGATTATTTCTTTGGTTCTCTCCTCATCTTCAGTGATTCTTTATTCTGCCATCTCCGATCTACCAATCTGCTCACCTAGAAAAGTTTTCATTTGGGCATTATACGTTTTTATTCTAGAATTTCCATTTGGTTCTTTTAATTTCTCTGCCAAGTTGTATTTCTCTGCTGAGATTTTCTTTCCATTTTTTCAAGGGGCCATTTTTTTCTATAATTATTTGAACATAATTACAATATTGCTTAAAGTCTTTACCTACTGACTATATGCGGGCTGCCTTGGGTATGGCGTCTGTTGACCACTTATTTCCTTCACTCTGTAGCACATTTTCCTGTTTCCTTGAACGCCTATTGATGTTGCAGATTTTAAACAATATGTTGTAGAGACTCTACATTTTGTCATCTTCTTCTGAAGAGCATTGATTCTTGTTTTAGCAGGCAGTTCAGTGACTGGCTAATCATCTTGAACTT